AATGTTTAGGGATTCGATATATTGCACTAATATATTCTTCTCATAAAGGATGGTCAGAAGTAAGGATAAAGCTCCATCAGGTCATAGAAAAAATCCAGCATGGAAACATAGCACTCAGGTGGATGTAGGGGGAAGTGATAAAACATATATCTATCTAAAATGCAATTACTATGATAAAGTTGTGAAGGGTGGTGTGACTAGGATGAAGGATCACCTTTCAAGGTCTCACAAGAATGTTGCTCCATGCTCCAAAGTTCCTGATATTGTAAGAGAGGAGATAAAGTCATAAATGAATAAGTCTACCACGTCAAAACATCTTGCACAGAAGCAATTTGAGGACCGAGTTGATGTTGGCTCTTACTACGGGAGTGAGTGCAGCGTTAGGGATTCATCTTCTTTAATGAAGCCTATTTTATCTAGGGGTGCTAGAGGCCTATGGATCATTATATGGTGGACACATCAGATGATAGGCCTCCTACTACACAGAAGATGACCCCAGAAAATGCAATGGAGGCACGGAGAAGAGTGTGTAAGGATATAGGCAGATTCTTCTACGAAAATATAATTCCATTTAATATTACAACATCACTTGTCTATTACAACATGATTCGTTCAATTTGAGCATTTGGGAGGGTTTAAACCTCCAACCATGTATAATTTGAGAACATGGATTCTGAAGGAGTTGGAAAGTAGTAAAGTACTGATAAAAGCATCGAAGAAATTAAGAGGACTTGGGCCCAAACAAGAGTAACAATTATGTCAGATGGGTGGTCTGATATCAAACATAGAAGTCTGATTAACATTCTCATTAATAATCCTTATGGTACTATATTTTAAAGGTCAGTTGAAGCATCTGGCCTGATCAAAGATGTTGAGTACATATTTGGATTATTAGATAGCATTATTGAGTAGGTTGGAGAATATTTGGTTGTACAAGTTGTGACAGATAATGCAAGTACTTACAAGGCTGCAAGTAACAAACTTATGGAGAAGAGTAAACATCTGTATTGGACTCCATGTATTGCATATTGCATAGATCTGATTCTTGAGAAGCTTGGGGAGCTACCTCATCATAAGAATACACTTACTAAAGCAAAAAAAAATAACCAAGTTTATTTACAACCACTCTTGGGTTCTAGCTCTTATGAGCAATTTTTCAAAGAAAGAAATTCTAAGGCCAACAGCAACAAGATTTGCCACCACTTACTTGACCTTAGAGAGCATGCTAGATGCTAGACAACCTTGAGAGGCTATGTTCACATCTACACAATGGTTGAGTTGTGCTTGGGTGAAGAAGGTTGAGGAAAAAGAGATTAAAAAGATTGTTTTAAATGATAGATTTTGGCAAAGTATCTTATATACCATTACAACCACTAAACATTTGGTTCAAGTTTTAAGGATGGTGAATGCTGAGAAGAAGCCTGCAATGGGTTTCAACTACAATGTCATGGATGAAGCCAAAAAAATGATTGCCTCCAACTTAGGAGGTGAAGAGGATAGTTTTAGGAAAATTTAGAATATTATTGATGATAGGCGAGAGCTACAACTTCACCGGCACTTGCATGCAGCTGATATCTAAACTCTTAGTATTAATATGTAGAGAACAAGTCTACAAACCCTGAAATAAAGTTGGGTTGTATCATTGCATAGATCGGGTAATAAGTGATGCAATTGAAAGATCAAATGCTGACATGCAATTAGTACATTTTAGGAACAACGAAGATTTTTTTAAATTACAACAAGCAAATGATACAATTGTCAAACGATCTCCTTGTAATTTTATTTAATGTTTTAAACATTTATTTAAAAGTTATTTTTTGCACTAATTAAACTCTCTTATATAAATATTAGTTGAGTTGTGAATTTAATTTGGCGATGGGACTCCAGAATTGCAGTGTTTTGCTGTGAAAGTTTTGGGCTTGACATGCTCTTCATCTAGCTGTAAAAGAAATTGAAGTACCTACAACCAAGTACCCACAAAGAGGAGAAATCGCTTGTTCACATTGAGGATGAATTCACTGGTGTACATTATGTACAATAGGAGACTCAAAGATATGAATTTGAAGAAAAAAATATTAATGTATGATGAAGATCATTTGCTTTGTGAGGATGTGGCATCTGATGATGAGTAGTTTGTAGATGATGAAGTTGAAGTGATGCCGTCTGAATTACAAGATGAAGATTTAAATATTGATTTCTTTGATAGTCTGAAAGCATCTACATCCACCACAACTCAAGAACAAATCAAAAAAGGTACATAAACAATATAGTTTTCTTAGACTTTTATTAATGTATTACATTATTATTTATTTTGAGATTGTTCAAAAATATTTATGGAAGAGGAAGATAACTAATATTGAGGAAGGACTTGATTGGGAGCATTGAACTCTATAGGAGAGGAGGAAGGGGAGAGAGCAGTTCATCATGTCATTGCTATTTATTTCTGGAATAATATGTTAATGAAAAGAATATTATGATTTGCGAAAGATGGAGTTTGAGTTGAACTATATTTCATGTTGTCTTATTATTGAATATTTTGATTTCACTTCATATTTTGTGCATTTATATGTTTTATATATTATTTACTCATTAGTATATACAAAATTTATCATTTTATGTTTACGCAATTTTTTGATTCGCCTTGAGGCTTACGCCTCACGAACAAAAAACGCCTCAATACCTGATTACGCAATTTTAAACATTGAGCCATCCAAAAAAATCCATTATAGGAGATCCAAGGCGAGTCATTTAAAAAAAAAAAAAGATAAATCATTCTGCAATTTCATTTTAAATAGAAGATGAAAGGTTTGCTTACTTGTTGATATTGCTTTAAAATCATATTCGTAACTCTTTTCATCCAAGCACTTTTAAATATAACGTGTAAGATTATTTTTAAGTATTACGTTTTTCTTTTTGTTTTTATCTCTTGCATGTTGTTAATTATCTTCTGAATAGAGATTTTAGATGGTACCCTCAGCCATACCCTATTAGAAGAAACGATGCAATATTTTCTCCAATTATAGGTTACGAAAAAGTCAATTACTGTAATAGGGGAATCCTAAGTGTGAGTTGTGCTTGGGCAAGGATGTAAGCTTCGGAGAAACAAATAACATAAAAATCAATTTGTCTATTTTAATTACTGCATTTTAATTTTGCTTTGTTGTTCATTCATCTACATAATCACATAAATTTGAAATCTTCCCCATAAAACAATTTAAAATAATTAATTAAATCTTTTCAAGAGGAATTTGAATTGCCTAATTCAAACAATTCTCCTCTTGGGTCATGTATAACAGTATAAGCCATAAACTTGTAATTTTTTAAGCTATATATAATATAAAATGAAACATAAATATATTTGTGCATTGTTTACTTGTTGTGTGTGTGTATATATATATATATATATATATGTGTGTGTGTGTGTGTGTGTGTGAATCTATAATTCTATATGAATGAGAACCTACGTATAAATTGTGCATGTTTATATGAATTAAGTTCATTGAGTTCAATGGAATTAATTTCTAGCAAGCCACCTTTGAGTTTACGCAAATAAATTAATATCCAAACAATTATCAAGCAAGCTTTAAGTTTTGAACAAAATTATCAGTCCTACTAAAGAAATTTATAATTGACTCCCGTTACTAAGTCACCTTCATTTACTACTACATCAAAAATGCATGATGTTTATTTTATACTAAATTGATTTTGATATTTTTAATACTTTTTAGAGGTGATTTTTGTGAAGAAAATTACACAGTGCAAAAATAGTTTCTCAGATTAAAAAAAGGAGAAAAACATAACAACAAATTGTTCAGATAATTTTGTGCATCTAGCGAGATCCATAAGGAAAGAATGATTCCTAGAAGATATTAGTAGAATGAGGAACATGGATAAAAGATCCAAAGATTGAGATTACATGAAAAATTTCCTAAGACATTTTGGGCGGACAACATGAGGTTGCAGCTTATCTGATTAAATAGAGCAACCTCAATTCCTTTATGCTATGAAATGTTAACAAAACTTGGATTGGCAAAGAGAAAACATTTCTCATTTAAAGGCATTTGAATGCTTTCTTTTGTGCATGTGATTCCATTTGTCAAGAAAAACTAGGCACTAATTAAAAATAATTAATTTATTGGAAATGGAGTTGAAAATATTTTTTCTATAGGTTCCAATGATAAAAATCAAATTATTATCTAAGTTAGAAATGTTACATTCAATGAAATGTTATGTACAAAGAAAATTTTAACAATGTTAAAAAGCAGGCCTCCATAGATACTTACTTGAAGGGGATTTTTGAAGATGATGTCCAAGAAAGGGTGACTATTGAGTATGTCGAGACATAATTAGAACCAAGCATGCCTATGATGCATTTAAGGATATCTAAAAGAATGTTTAAAACTACTAACTAATAATATTCTTAGTTGCATTATTTATTACTATCATGTGATATCAGTCAATGGCTCCTTGGGATCAAGTGATGCAAAAAGCTTGCAACTCAATTGGAGAAGATAGGCTAAGAGTATAATGCTTCTAAGAATTCAGCTTACTTTTTTGCCCATTTAAGCCTTGAATAGTATAATGTGAAGCTTAAAATTGGATGGCATAAGAGTTCCATTTAGGCGATTTGGCTTGGCTTGGAGCTTAAGCTTACTTGAGCCAAACTTAAGAGCCAACCAAATAGATTCTAAATATGAGCACGAAAGACCATAGTTGAATTCCCACACCAAGCTAAAGAACTAAAAAACAAAACAACAGACCAAGCTAAACCATCAACCCCAAACTGTTCAAGGACAATGGTGCCTATCTACACCTAAGCAAGATTCATCTGCAATAATTGAACAATATACTTGGGAGCCAGCTAATACTCAACTATCTAAGTCAATTTACAATCAAAATAAGCCTTCAACAATTTGAAACCAATACTCTATCGTATAACACAGTTTCCTCAAGACTCAAACTTCCAAACCCAACAAGAACAAGTTCACTCAAGTGTGCACCTCAATGTCGTATCCAAGCTCCTTCAAGGCAGCAGCAATGCTAACCATCTGCAGCTGCATAGCATCCGGCGAGAGTCCACCAACTACCTGCCAGCCAAAATTCGCATATCTGCCATATCAAATCAATACTAGACCACAAGAAACTCAATACGAAAAAGACCTCTACTGAAACGCAACTTACCAGTGCCAGCCGCGGTTTTCTGAGCCCAGCCCTCCTCATCGGCCTCCCCGATGCTACCAAGAACGAATCTACCTCCTTCTTCTCCCTCTCAAACCTCTCCAGCAGCTTCGCCGGCACGAAACGAATACCATCCCCGAATTCCAATTCCCGGAAACTACTCTTCACTACCCCTCGATCTACATCAAAGGAGCGCCGACTCGGGAACTTCTCCGAGATAGAACCAGGTAGGAATGCCTGGAAGAGGATTACAACGAAGAAGAACGCCACTACTGTGCAAATCCACTGGAGATAGTCTACCTTCTCGAAAAGGAGGAAACGCGCTAGCCTTGACCTCGGCCGTTGAAAAAACGACCGGCCTGCGGCCAAAGGAGGCGAGCGGATCACTGAGGCGCGCTTCCCAGTTTCCATAGATCCCATCAAGGAAAGTAGAAAAAGCTAAAACAGAGACGAAGAGCAATCGTCTGTTTTGCTACTCCCGGTCTCACTTTGGGCGGCGGGGCAAGTAAGCTTTAGAGTGGTGACGTGGTGAAATTTGTGCTGTTACTATTGACTATTCGGTGTTTGTACGGTAGAGAAGATTGTTTTTACGGACAGGTAACCTGTAAAATAGGTATTATACATTTTTGTCGGTGGGCTAAATATATGGGAGGATAGATCCGGAATTGAAAATAAAATTACAACGAAATTGGTGGCTTTTTCTTATCAGCTGTCGGCGGGTTGTAGCCGTCTCTATAGCGACGGACTAAACCGGTAAGCCGGCCCGTAGCTACATATTTACAGTATGGGTGTAAACGAGCCGATTTTGAGGTGCAATTTGCTATGCGTTTGAACTTTGAAATAGGCTTATTTAAATTTTTTATTTATTTGGAACAACTCATACTTAAAATTATTGATCAATATTATACTTATTTCAAGTCATTTGAATTCAAATTAAATATAAAATGATTTTGAGCAAAAAAAATAAATAAATAAATAACAAATATAATGACTAACCATCTATATATATAGAGAGAGAGAAAGAGAGATTAATAATAAGCAATTGAATCAATAACGAGTGAGATACATTCAAGCAAGATCTATTTATATGTAGCTTGTAAAATAAAATAGTTGATATATGTTAAGGTGTCTTGTCAGAGTCATCCCAATAAGCGGGGTGGTCTCTAACTAACTTAACATGTTAATAACTATTTGACTAACCACTCATTTAATTGTTCGGTTGCATATGATAGGCAAAGCTAAGATAGATATTTATTTGCTGAAGTTTCTATAATTTGAGCCGAAATTTGCTGACAAACTTAGCATCTCTATTAGAAATCAGATTATATGGGGATTATCATGTAACTGCACCATTTCTCTAAAAAAAGGCATGTTATATTGATGGCATCTAAAGATTTCTTGCAAGAAAAAAATGTGTCATCATGGTAAAACAAACAACGATGAACATTATAAAATCGACACCTTATTTGGTTCTTGGAAGACCCAAAAGTAAATTAATATGAGATTTTGACAAATTGAGTTTGGGGATTATAAGTGAATTGTACAGGCCAATGTTCTGAGTTGTGATTAAAGTTTTGAAAAAAAAAATAATGAGATTGTAGCTATGTTAATGTCTTGTCGCAACTAGCTTGTGCAACCAACTTGCCTCCATGGAGTTCTTGAGTTAGGTGATCTCAAGAACACAATTTAGGCACATATAAATTATTTCCTTTGAATAAAAACCCATGTCAAATGGTGAAGTTGGCTGCAAGATTGTTGAGAATATAAGCATTCTATATTAATATTGAATTTATTAGTGTTGTATAATTCTTGAAGAGACTCCAATGCCTATCATTTCTATTTGTTATGAAACAAGTCGTCTACTGCATCTACTAAAAACATCAGTAGCTTTGTTTAGAGTTCCAACCTTGAGTTTCAAAGCGAAGGTGAAGTTTTTGAGGAATAAATTCATATTATAGAGAATGAAATCTTGATGAATAGATAATGCTCCCAATGTTTAAGTCTGTAAACAATCATATGTAACTCTTATTTGAATATATTCTATTATTATTGTGGGGCACAAAGACAAAGATTTAGGTTGAAGTATTCCATCAGGCTATTGCCTTTGGACATACAAATCCCAACATCAGTGGTGCGAGCATCCATTTTGACCAAAAAAAAAAAAAGGCTTGTCAAATTGTTCAATAGCAAGGGTAGGGGTAGAGATTAGTTTTTTTGTTAATGGTTTCAAAACTTCAATTTTGTTCGTTGCCATAAGTGAAGCTTTTGATTTTTGAGGCAATTACTTATTGGTGCATAAAATGTTAAACCCTTGAATGAACTTTCAATAATAGTTTACTTTGCCGTAAAAACTGCACCATCCATGATGGAGCAAGATGTCAGCCAATCATGAATGGTAAACACTTTTTGTTGATCAATGCAATTACCTTTTGCACTATGATAAAGCCAAAGAAATGCACCTCCTTCATGAGTTTCATAAATGTGCCTGAGCATTGAACAGACTGAATGGCATCATCTTCCACTAGTATAATCTCTCAAACATCTTGAACATGATCTTCCATTCATCCCCAGGGTAAATGTGGATTAATAGTAACCATTACCATGGGGAAATTGAAATAGGGGTGGGGTGGGTGTGGGGTTGCACATGGACACATTGTGAAGCCCCTTAAATAAAAGAACATAAGCTCTTAAACAGTAAAGTGCCTTTTGGTGTAGCGATTGAAGTTTTATTTAAGAAACTATTTAGTTAAGCGTGCTCATAATGGGAAAATTATGAGATGTGTGACTTTCTTGGAAGTTACACCAACATTATAAAATTGTAAGGGCCTTAGTCCAAAGAAGATAACATCTCGATAGTTAAAAATTTGAGCTGTTACAAATGATATCAGAGCATTACACCAGTTGGAAGATGAAAATTAAATGCCATATAAAATAAAATGCTACACCATAGGAGTCACCTCTTGAATCTTGTATGGGATAAAGTGCTACGTGGAGGGAGTCACCACTAAAACTTGTAGGGGCCACCTTTAGAATCATATATGCCTTATGGATGATTCTGGGATAAAGATGCTAATAAGGACGTCAATTACTTAAGTGTTGGAAATTATGAAACCCCTTAAGTAAAAGAAATTAAACTTTTAAACATCAAGAAGTCTTTTGGTATAATGGTTAGAATTTTATTTATGAAACTTCATAATTAAGCGTGAACATCCCGAAGAAATTCTGAAATGGGTGACCTTCTAGAAAGTTACACCAACATAACAAAACCGTGAGGCCCTTAGGCGAAAACAGGCAATATCTTGATAGTTAAGAGTTTGATCTGTTACACATGTGCCCCACTCAACCCCCTCCCTCCCCCACCCAAAAATATAAAGGAATATAAAACTAAACCTCTTTTTATTTTAAATCAAATAGCCCCTAAGTGATTTTAAAAATACATACATTTTACTATTTTAGTAATTTTGAAATATTAAAACAACTAATAATTAATATTAATTTTCATTGCATTTAATTAAATAATAAATTTATAGTTTGAAAGACGTGGGAGAGCACATCAACAATGCAGCTAAATATTTATGTTAATTCATTTCCAAAGAATTATTATTATTATTATTATTATTCATTTTTTATTTTTTTATTTTTTTATTTTTCTACATTTCCATTTCCATTTCCAAAGAAATTGAAAGCCTCCTTTAGCAATATTAGGTTTCAATAAAAAGAATATATAGATTAGGTTTAAAAAATTATTTGGCAAAAGTTTATTAGATTTTCAAAATTATTGAGAAAATATTAGATTCTATATATATAGTTTATGTGTTGTAAAATATTCTTAATTCACTAATTATTCGGTGAAATATGCATCATATTTTGGCTAATTAAGGCTTCGTTCGGGACGGTTTTTTTACTGGTTTATGAAGCAATTTTTTAATACAATATATTTTTGAATTAGAAATTTTTACTCTATAAAAATACTTCATAAAACATTAAAAAAACTATTTTCACAAATAAAATTTTGAGAACTTTGTACTACATCGTAGTAAAGCTTTTATTTGTGCATAGTATATCTCGGCATACCTAAGAAGAGAATAAGGTGGGCAATTGCCCATATTGACATTTTTTTCTTAGTATTATAAATGTTATGCCATCTCTCAATGAAAGTATTTATCTAAAATTTTAAGAATTTTTTTTTAAAATTTCATGCTTAAGTATTATGCACATCTCAATCATATTTTGCTCATCCTCAAAAGAGAGAACAAATTCCGTCCCTTATAACTAATAACTTTATGAAAATAGATTTTGATGGGCCAATATACATAGCATAAAAAATAAAATTATCATCATACAAAATAAAAAATATATCTTATTTATTAAGATAAAAAGATTTAATCCTTAAATAAATTTAGCTATTCATATCTTGAACTTTTTATATTAGGAAATTGAGTGTCACACTTAGAATTCATTGATATATCAAAATATCATGAAATTACAAAACATTATGATCTTTAGCAGTTACAATCATAATCTTATATAAGATTGAAAAAGAAAAAAAGAAAAAAAAAAAAACTATAGAACATGGCCAAACTCAGCATCATTGCATTATATGTCTGTTAGTTTTGAAATTCAAATAATGATAAAATTATAAAAATGATGTATTTGGTAGGATTGTACATATTAAAGAAATTATAAAAATACATTATGATAAAATTCATTCAATCAAGCATATATCTTGACGCAAGTGTTCGAATTAGAACCTTATGAAATAAAATTTTGGACTATCCAAATTTCATTTTTAGCAAATTTATAATCAAAATCGCATTTTTATGCGGTGAATACAAGAAAGCCAAAAAGTTCATTGATCAAAATCCAAATGGACATATAATAAACACTCAAAAGTACAGTTGGAATCTTGAGGCTTTTGAGGGGCCAAATAATCTATGATCTTGAATGCTTATAGTTAAAGCAAGAGTCTAAGCAAGAGGAATTCAACAAGCTTAACATCATCTAATTTTGATATCACTTAAGATAGTTAAATATTTAGAGAACTTTAACTGATTAAGAGGATCCTTCTAAGCAGTCTAATATAATATTTGAGAATTTTAACAAAAATATCAAAACTGCCACTCCAAGAATGCATAACTAGATGATTTTTTTCTACACATGAAGTTCATTTGGTGTAGGGGAGAGTTTACAGATTTAAAAGATCCTAAAGTTGAAACCAATGATCACCAATAGCAACTATCACTATCCGACTAACATTATTAGAACAACATCATCTGACTTTTACAACAATTTGCCTATTGACACCCACATTTGCTATTGTCTGATTGTCATCTCTCAGTGTCAAAATGTACCGCCAACCATAGACTAACATTAACATTTGTTACCTTACTACTGCTCAAATAGTTCACTTGCAAAACTAATCAAGTTGAGAATGAAAATTTATCTTTCCTTCTCTAGTTGGAGAATTGGGATTTTATTAA